AAAGCTTTTTGAATGGCGAACGCTTTTTGAAAAAGAAAATCTCGATTTTTTACGTTTTTTCTAAATAAAACTGACATTTATAATTTCTGCAACAATAACGGTATATTTCCGGAAAGCGCAGGAAATTTGACGTCATCGGAGGCCAAAACGAAAGTTATCGGGCGATAAAAAGCATCGAAATTATCGTTGTGAATATGCTCCTCCAGACCACTTTTAGAAATTTTTTGTCTGAAACCTCTAAGGGTTTTGAAAGATTTAAACCTGGGTTTCAATACGGAAAAGGCCAAAGAATCAATCCCAATTCATAAAAAATTCAGTTTTTATTCGGAACATAGGAAAAAGTCGAGTCGAAAACGTGACATTTTTTCATATAATCCGCAGGTCATGAAGACTTTTCAAAAGCACCGTTACTTCCGGTAATTCACTTTGCGCACCGGAAATGCAGATTTTACTGCGTTTAGGTGGTCCTTTTAGAAAAGTTTTTGGATCTATTCGAATCTACAAGTTTCGGCGCATCGATTGAAAGAGCTTTTTCGAAAATCGCTCTAAAGGTTTTTGAATGGCGAACGCTTTTTGAAAAAGAAAATCTCGATTTTTCGCGTTTTGTCTAACTGCAACAAAAACGGTATATTTCCGGAAAGCGCAAGAAATTTGGCGTCATTCGAGGCCAAAACAAAAGTTATCGGACGATAAAAAATATCAAAATTATCGCTGTGAATATGCTCCACCAGGCTAATTTTCTAACAAGAAAGAAGCCACCAGCCCATCAATTGTGATTTACAAAAATTTAAATTTTAATTCACATCATAGAAAAAAGTGAGATGAGTTTTAGTGTCAAACAACGCACTTACGCTCATGGATCAGTTGCAAATTTACTTACATCTCGGCAGTTGTCCGAGCCCTTTTCCTCGCTACTTCTCCCTTTGTTTGAATTTCATCCAAAAGTTTCGTAAATGTGTTTTTTTTTTTTATTGAAATTATTGCCTCGTTAAAAATTTAACATTTCTTACATAGGCTATTAGCTAATGGTTATGTGCGTAGGTGTACATTATGTATGTATTTATGTATGTATGTTTGTATTGATGTGAATAATAATGCATGTATGGTAGTTAACAAAACTAAAAATAAAAATCGTTTTGAGTGGTCGAATGCTTTGCGCGCGACCAAAACTTGCCCCTATGTACATTCTAGGCTAATTCCATGGCGTAACCTTAGCAACAAATTTCGTATCTTTTTAAACTAATCAAAATTTTATAATGCTATATTTATAATCGCTTTTATCGTTTTACGATGGGCGTCCGGACAAAGAGTTTTCTGCGTTGAAGATTGATGGTACGAAGACACGTCCCAAACGATCCTCTTCTCTCATGATCTTCAAGCAAATCATTTCCATTTTTTGCTCTCTTTCTCTCTGTCTCTCTCTCTCTCTTTCCTCCCTTATATATATTAGCTAGTAAATATGTACGTAGGCTTATTAAAAATACATGTGCGTATGTATGTAACTCAATAAATTACTATGTGTTCAGTCTTGCGTGCTTACGAGTAATTGCATTTCCAGCTTAAACTACTTTATGAATATTAGCTCAAAAATTTCTTAAATTTCTAGCAAATCCCAATAGTTTGCTACGAACGAGCGTTAATTAAGTGCAATCAAATCTTCTTTGAAGATCACTCTAGGCCATTTCGGATGGCTCGCGCTCGGCCTCCTCTGCCGAATGCTCTTCCTCGCCATGGCCGCTCCTTGTTTGCTCGGTTGCGGCTGTTTTGCTGGAGCTCTCTGTCTGCTGACGCTCTGCGACAGTGGCGATCTTCATTGGCTTAATCGCCTCCAAGACGACTTCTCCCTCGCGTGCTGCGCCACTGACAGACGCAGTCTCCTCGGTATTCGACTCGATCGGTTGGCGCTTTGGCGACAATGAAGCCGACGACGAGGCCGACGATGGTGTCAGCGAAGTTCCGGCGGCCATTTCGGCTTCGAGCTCACAAAAAATCTCCAGCAAATTGTTGATGCCGATCAAGTAGCCATCCTCGTGATTGCCCACCGTCCAGGTGCTGCTGTGGTCGATCTGATGGTTCTCTGGCAGGCCGACGGTCTTGGCAAAGTCGATCAGCCATACGCTGGCCTGCTTGCGGTCGTGCACGAACAATAGCGAACTGCCGATAACTTCGTGTGTGCGAAAGAAGTCGGAGCATTCAAGTGTTGCACGAATAGCCTGCAAGCGCTGTATGTAACGGGGCTGGTAATAAGCGAGAAGAGACATAAATTAAAGCGTTAGGGTAAAAAACGAACAAGGTGGATATAGCAGAAACCTACCATAGCATGCTGAAAACCATCGATGTACTCGCGGAAGGCCTGCTTGATTTGTTGGCGGGACTTGGTGGTCTTAAAATCCTTCGTGCTGGTGCCATCGCTCTTCTTAATGCCCTGAAAGATGAGAGAGAAGAATTAGCATAAGTCAAAAATCTGCGACTGCCGAGTGTGAGCTTACCTCAATGCGAAAACCGAGTGTTGCAGTGCTGGAGATGGTCTCACNGTGGGAGAGAAGAATTAGTATAAGACAAAAATCTGCGACTGCGAGAGTGCGCTTACCTCAATGCGAAAACCGAGTGTTGCAGTGCTGGAGATGGTCTCACGCCAAACCATGTAGCGCGGCTTGGTCACACCCTTGGCCTTGTGCTCCTCCTCGCTGGGTGCATCCGGATCGATCTGTATCATTTTCTCATACATGTCCTTGCGCAACTTCGGTTTCTCCTTGGCCTTGGACAGCTCCTCCTCCAGATAGGTGCGCACGCCAATCTTGCAGTCCATCACGCAGGGTTGACAGAAATCACTCAGCAAGTCTTGCAACTGCAAGTATACTGTAAAAGAGAGCGAGATAGAGAGAAAACTATGATGAGTATTTGCTTGCAACTAAAGGACTGGGCTACAAATAGAAGTAGATTAAGCTAAGGAACTTTTGTTCTTCTCGTTCATCTTCTTCCATTTGTTTGCGTTCATTTTTCGTACATACTGCACTTACATTCACCATCCTCGCTGGTCACCTGCCCTTTATACTCCGGCACATAGGGGCGCAGTACATCCTGCATGAGCACGCGAAAGCAATCCTCCTCCTTCGGACAGAGCTTCTTCAGGACGGTGCCCTGCTCGGGACCGGCCTTGAAGTTTCCTTGATGACCGGCCAGTTGGACCCAGGGATAGCGCTGTTTCTTGTAGGTTTGAAAAAAGGGCGTCCATTGCACGATGTTGCGTAGCTTGCGCCAACCAGAGGGCTGTATTGCAAAAAGTTGAAGAGAGATAATCAATAAAAAATAGTCTTGCAACAAAGCGGGCAATAGAATATTTTATGCGCATAACATGCTATTGGCATACCAACGCGTGCCGTCATTCATCACTGCGCTGGAGGCCGCCCGACAAGAGCTGACAAATAAGCGGTGAATGATCTGTGACAGCAACTACCCTAATTGGCGCACTTGGCAACGATCAGCTTGCCGTGAGCCCGCTAAGAACCCAAACGACGCTAAGCGCTGAGTAATTTTGGCGACGGTAATTTAACGCGCCATGCGGCATTTTTGGTAATTAAGTAAGTTAGGTGTGCGCCAGCAGCCGGCCGAAACAAGCCGAT